ATCGTGATTTTAATTGTTGTGGTGAATTTATTTCTTTAATATCCAGTGAAATTGAGGAAGAGATCCTCTCAGATATCCGAACTAGTCCTGCTGCATTAAATCCCGACAATTGTATATGGGTAACACTAAAAATAATCTAATCGGAATCATGACAATTGGCCACGTGACCTTCCGCCCCTACAGCATATTTCCGAGTTCCGACTATACACGGAAACCGATTTGTGCTACTTTGTTATTTATATACTTATATACTTTGTTGTCCCCCGCCTTTCAAAGAAAGCAGGGGACTATTAAAATGGGTCTGTCCGTCCGTCCGTCACACTTTTTGGGACACAATAACTCTCCTTCTAATTGACCTAGAAAGTTCAAACTTGGTGTAGGTGTTTATTAAGTCAATGCCTTGATGGAGTTCGAAGATGAGCATTTTCTGCTTAGGGTAAGCAGAGATAAGCAATTTGATTGGTTGATGCTTTGGGTCACGATAACTTTAGTTCTAATTAAGTGAGAGTGATGAAACTTGGTGTATAGTTTCATTACATCAATACCTTGACTAAGTTCGATAATGAGCATTTTCTGCTGGGGGTAAGCAGAGCGATAAGCAATTTGATTGGCCGAGACTTTGGAACACAATAACCCTCCTTCTAATTGAGCTAAAATGTTAAAACTTGGTGTAGGTGTTTATTAGTTCAATGCCTTAATGGAGTGTGAAGATGAGCATTTTCTGCTTAGGGTAAGTAGAGATAAACAATTTGATTGGTAGATGCTTTGGGGTATGATAACTTTTGTTCCAATTAAGTGAGAGCGATGAAACTTGGTGTATAGTTTCATTACATCAATACCTTGACTAAGTTCGAGATTGAGCTTAAACTAAGGAGCAATAAGCATTTTGATTTGTCAAGACTTTGGAACATAACAACTCTGATTCTAATTGAGGTAGAATGTTTAAAATTGATGTAGATGTTCGTCTTGACTGAGTTCAAGCAGAGATAAGCCATTTCCTTGGTCGATGCTTTGGGACAAGATAACTTTGATTCTATCTGATAGAGAGTGATGAAACTTAGTGTATAGTTGATAATCAGTTTGATTGATCGATACTTTTGAAAAAAATAGATGTGCGATTAATTTATATGTGTCATCTATTTATTTGGGGATTTCGGCGGGGGACATCAGCCTCACTGTTGGCTTGTTATTTTTATATACCAGGTATACTATTCAAAAAAAAGTAGGGGATATTTGATTTTTAAGTGTTATTAAAGTCACCTAATGAAACTGACGAAGAAACAAATGACAAAATGAAATGAAGTTCACATTCATCGATTTATTCCAAATGATCGTTAGACTAAGTAAGGCACAGACTGACCATTATAAGGGTAAAATGATACCCGGGGTCAAACAGCAAAGTTACCACAGCATCACAACCAAGTCAGTAACGGGTAAATCCTCCTCTGTTTGCCAAACAAGCATTGATCCGACGTGGCATACTCCTAATGAGACGTCTAAGGTCATTTTGGTCCAGATTGTCCCATTCCTGTTGCAACGCAGCAGCAAGTTCTTGGACATTGGCAGGACGTTGTTGACGTTGACGTAACCTCTGTCCAAGCATGTCCCAGACATGCTCGATGGGGGAGAGGTCGGGACTCAGTGCTGGCCAAGGTAATGTGGTGATGTTCTGTTGTTGGAGGTAACCTGTAACGATCCTGGCCCTGTGACATCTTGTGTTGTCATCCTGGAAGATGAAACGGCGGCCATGACGTCGTGCGAACGGCACAACATGGACTGCCAAGATGTTGTCCCGGTAGTACTGGCCTGTAACACGCCCTGCAACAACATGTAAAGCCGTTCTTCCAGCAACAGTGATGCCTCCCCACACCATAACAGAACCACCCCCAAATCTATCATGTCTGATGACGTTAACGTCTTGGAAGCGCTCGTTTCGACGACGCCACACCCTCCTACGTCTGTCCAAAAAATCAACAGGGAACCTTGACTCATCTGAAAACATCACATTGCTCCAGCGTCGATTATCCCAGTGTTGACGATCCCTACACCAACGATGATCTCTCAAACAAGGGATCACGCGAGGACGTCGGGCGCGAAGGTGACCCCTATGCAGTCGATTCCGAATCGTCTGGCCACTCACTCTCACACCAGTGTCTGTTTGAAGACGAGCGCTGATCTGATTTGCTGTGATGACACGATTTCTCAAGGCCAAGGTACGGATAAATCGATCCTGGGCTTGAGTTGTCGCCCTTGGTCGACCTGAGCGTGGTCTGTCCTGTACAGATTGTGTATCACGGTATCTGGACCATAGCCTGCTTATGACAGACTGAGAAACATTCATCGTCCGCGCCACAACCGCCTGTGTTGTGCCGATCTGTAGCATGCCAAGGGCACGTAACCTTTCATTTTGGGTAAGCCGACGCATATCAAAATTTGTTTTCTGGTCACTAAAACAATTAAACTGATGTTTCCACCCTGGAATTCAATGCCACAATGACTGTAACATTCAAAGTCAGAGTCGTGCAAATCTTGGGTTGGACCCCCATGATGATCCCAAGCATTACCTGCATTCCATGCGGTAGCTATTGGTGCGTTTGGGCGTCACATGTAACTGGAAATGTTTCTTCTGTTAGGTTCTATAGTGACTTTTTTCGTAGTCATTTGCATATTTTAGTATTATGCCCCCAAAATCAAATATCCCCTACTTTTTTTGAATAGTATATATTAACATGTGCTTACGAATAAAATTATTTAAAAAAACATTGTATGTACTTGTAGTTTTTACTAATTTATAACTTCCGTTTAGTTGTATGAAACCAAAAGTAGGGATATGCAATGCAATTTGCTGAAATAATAATATGACTATAAAAATGTAGATATTATAGTGATGTATGAATACAAGTATGCAATTACAAAGGTCTTGTTTATACAGAGTTTCAGCTATTATTATCCCAAATACATTATGCAATTAGGGAATTATGCAATTAGAGTATGCATAAACTAACATGTTTGTTGTTGAAAAGACGACTATCCGTTAGGCCTAACCGTGGCCTGACTAAACGTCAAAATTTCCGAGTTTAGTTCGACTTTTGCGTACAACAATCAACTTTCGTGCATAAGTCGACCAACTTCAGATGTGGCCAAAAACACTGCTTAAGAAGACCCCCGACCCTTCCTTCTTCCCTTAAGAACACCCCCTTAAGAGAGAAGTTAATTCTACTTCTGCGCTTCGTTAAAAGTTTCACAATTGGTCTGCTAGAACATAACACTAACTTAAGAAAGCGAACTCCACTTCTATCCCGGATAAGATCGACAAAACGGGGGACCCATCGGTGAAATGACCATTAATGTATGTTATAGTAGGGTAATTGAAGTTTCATTATCAAACTTTTTCAGAATTTTAACCTCTGTCCCACATGACCAAAATTGAAGGTGAAAATGTGTATATTTTTTACGTTTTCAGTGTGCATTGAATTTTCAGACTGAATATTTGGAAAAGTATATATCCCATCGACTCAGACTCTTTCGTAATAGTGACTTTGCCAGAGGCTGTGGAAATCCTGAAAAAAAAAGTGAATAGTTCATTTGTTCCACATTTTGCCACCTGGTGGCACGAACTGTGTAATTCGCACATTGCGTGTGATGGTAAATTCGTAATCTACACCAAAAGTTGTCTTAGATTACAAAGTTCGAGAGTTCTACTCCTATTAGAAATGTGAGCTTAATGTACTCGAAAACCTGAAAAAAAAATACTGAATTTATGAAATGTTTCAGTACCCTAATTTCAAATGGCCATATCTCAGCAGGATTTTGGCCTAGAGAGAGGTATAATTTTGGATTTGTTAGCTAAAGGCCCTATACTATAACATATATTTTTTATAATTTTTTAGGAGAGGGTCATGTTCCTAACTTTCCGAAATTTGCTCCACTTGACATGAAATGACCCTGAATATTGACCTGCTTAGTTTAAACTAAAATACTTGATTGAACCTTCCAGAATTCAGTAATCCCAATCTCAAACAATGATAATCAAGAATTTTAGGCAACAAAAACAAAACATGTGCCAAGTGAATAGCCTAAGTAATATCCACTTTAATAAAGAGTTTATTTTTATTTTGTTTTGTGGTTCTGATTTTGTACACTACATAAGATCTAATATATATTCAGAACATCTGCCGTAGACACAACTCACATCGGCTTGAGTTGTGCACAAGACTTCAGTATGTTTTTAGATAGATAACCCTTAACATTTACAGTACACAGTGATTAAATATGATTGTGTCTTGTAAAATATAAACCATTGCATGGACAAATGAAGGAAACAAAAGGCATCCGATTTTAATCAGATTGAGTAATATTTTGACCAAATCACCACGGCTGAAACATGTTTAAAGTAGCCAAGTCCGTAACTCGATATCATCCAAAATCTTCGACATTGAAAACACAATTTTTTTTGCAATTTAAATCAGCATTGGTGTTGTGATCTTACCTGGAAAAGATGGGCTTCTGATATTCAATATTTAAGACAAAATAAACATTTTACCATTGGTACACGAATCGTGTACCATAATGCGTTTTAGCGCCAAATGTAACAAGGTGCTCAAAGAATAAGGTTAGACATATTCCACAAGTCATGTTAAACGGTGATATCATATTCTTATTTGGGGAGCATGCGCAATAAATAATATCGGTGTTGACTGGAATAACCAGACGCTAGAAACTGACTTGCGGTTGAGACTTCTGGCATATTTTGCCGAACATAACTGATGACAATTCACAGTAAAATGGACATGATTGAATGTAAAACAGTTTATATAAACTCATATTATATTATGTTGCGACCCATTTGTGCCAATTTCTAGGTCCAAAATATTAGCGATTTAGCGCCTTTAATTTATTTGATTATGTCACAAGTCTACACAAACCACATCGACGCTAAGAAAACTTGGGCAAAACTTGATTCCATGTCACTAGATTTCAGCTCTGGGTTTTTTTTTTAGTTTGATGTAATAGAAACTTTAGAAATTGATGGCCTAGCAACTACACATATGTCACCTATACAACCAGTTCCTTACAGATGTACGTCTCTTGCATCTGATACTTCAGATGGTGGAAAATATGGGCTATCTTCAACAAGAAGACACAGGTATACATTAATAATAGAAAAAGACATTCAAATATAGACTTTTATACTCTACACAATAAAGACTACTGTTGTCGATGTTGCAGTGTCATCTGTTTTAGTCTTTTACTTGTCAGTTCACAACATATTGATAACTCATTCTATCTATAAACACTGAAGAAAACTTTACAGTCCTGATTTTTCCTAACTTTAATGAGGAAAATGTGGGCAAGATACGTCCACATTTTGCAAGAGATGGACAGAGAATGGGCTAAAAAATGCTGTTTCCATACAGTCAGGGGCAATACTCCATGAAGTTACAGTCCGATATGTGCCAATATCTAAAGGATCCAAGATCTTTTGGTTATAAACATATTTTAAGTTCCATCAAAATCAGATAAAAATTGTTACCTCTAGAGTGTCAACACGCTAAAAAACAAGATTTTTTGCAAAATCAGGGGCAATAATCCATGAAGTTGCGGTCTGTTACATGCCAGATCTTTGGGATATAAACCTATATTTCAAGTTTCGTCAAAATCGGATAAAAATTGTGACCTGTAGAGTGTCCATAAACAAAATGTGAAGGACGGACAAGGGTGATGACAATATATATACGTCCACATGAAAATGAAGGCGTATAAAAATTATATCGGCACAAGCTACTAATGAAGGCAATAATGTTTGAAAGTATTAGAGTATAAACTAAATAACCAGACTTTTAACGTAATAAACCAATTCTCTTATTTAGTCCCATAGATACTCCTATTTTAGCCATATTAAGATTTTGCAAAACCGTATAACATTATTTGCTGTTTTTTATTATTTGTTGCACAAACGTGCTGCCAACTTAGACAATGTCTTCATTTATATTAAATTTACATGTGTAAGTACCATATTGTTTTTGCAGACGGACTAGTACGCCAATGAGTGTGTCAGAGGAAGAACATGAGTGTCAGTGTAAAGAACATAAAGCTGGTCTACAAGTTCTTTTATTTAACTCAAAAGGCGATCGCACTGTACAACGTGGAAAATGTTTGGGTATGCATACAATGATTTATGAAAATAATATAATATATTTGCTGTTAGAATGTAACTGTACTTTTAGCTAATTTTTCGAAGTTCCGAGCTTTCACGCATAGTGTTTAGTTGTTCTAACTTAATGAAATATTAGCCCATTTTAAAATATAGAGAGAAATAATTTATAGATTTTCTGAAAATTTTTATGGAACTAACATAAATATTTCTTATATTTTTGTATGTTTTCTACTTTTATCATGGGTGCCATTGTCACATGGCATTTTGACATCATTTGTGTCATAACTTGTCGTCAAAGCCTATATAATGCTTTACTGTATCTCAAATTTTATCATATTTAACCCCAAACCAAATTTACGGAAGGTCAGCTGTCACTAATTCACAAAAAAGTTAACTCAGAATGCCATGGTATATCACAGTTTACAGGCAGCTACATGCCCTTGATTTTAGAATATTTTTTTTCTTTTAATTATAACAACAGGACATAGTGAAAATGGTAGTACTGTTTATGCTGGATTAGATACCGCTAGTGGTGATGTGGTGGCCGTTACAGAATGGTTATTAAAATGGAGACATATAGCTAAAAAAAAAAGGGAAATCATCGAACTAGACCTAGAAGGGAACACTTACATGAAACAGGTATTGTTTATAACCTGTAAAAATTAATTTCTCATTGATAAAACTACTTATTGTCAGTATTCAGAATACAGGATAAGTGAACATGATAATCCAGTTTAAGACTTATTATATAGAACTTCTGATAGTCCAATTCCCAAGACCTTATTGCCATTGTAATTCAGCAATGGTAAAATGATTGATTTTAATTAAAATAAAAATGCTGTATATAATATTGTGTATTATACTTTTAAAGTATTAATGACATTGACTTTAATTCAAGTAAAATATGAACGCAAGAATCAGCATTTAGTTTGTCTGTATAACAGCTGCATGAGCATTTTTATACACCCACATGGATATGTGGTGGTATATTGCCGTTGCCCCCGTCCATTCGCCATCCACAATTTCTTGTGAACACTCTCACTGAGAAGTAGTAATAGTAATAGTGTTATTTGTACGTTTAGGGTATAGATATCTACCGATTTTGGTAAATTTGTATGAATATTGGTAAAATTCTAATTATCGCAACAAATCTAATTAGAAGAAGCTAAAATTTGTAGATACAGTTTGTTAATTAACAGGGGTGAGAAATTGACTGAAAGGTGAATTAATTTTCGCTAGGGGTGAAAATCTCTGCGAAAGTGTGTTTTCTGTACTAGGTGTGTTAATTAACGAACAGGTTAAAAACGACTGACACAGTGTGTATTCTTTGTTTGGTGAGTTTTCTCGATAACGTGTTATAATTGCACCAAAAGTATCTTATCAAGGACTGGCAGGCTTAATCTGACACATAGGTGTCAAATCTAAATTTACCGTACGATTTCTTATTCGACTGTGTGTTTTACGCAGATCGGTCTTTGTTAAGGGTAGGTCTTTATACATGGATTTATATGTGCTGTAGTTACATATGAGCCTACTTTAATCTATGCGTATTTCATTTGTTGATGAATACTACATGTTTATACTGCGTACCATTGTCTGGCTGCAGTTATTTATATTTCTTGTCTTTTTGTGGGTTTCATTTGTTAACATTATCGTGGTATCACTGAACTATAACTATAAATGCATTTGTCTTAAAATCGGTCGCATGCAATATCGTTATTTACCAATATCCCGCCAAACCTCCATTTGATTATCTGATATACTCTAATCTCTATTGATATCAGATGCTCTAATCTATTTTGAAAGCATAATTATAAACAAAAAATCTTGCAATTAATGATAGCCTGTAAGTTTCGTTGGCGTTATGTTTTATAAATATATTTCTTACCTGGGTCATAAATAGGGCTATCCAAGGAAACAGAATTCTATCACTATATAACAATAGATAAATCACATACCAAATAACACTAATCATGTCTAATAATAGGGACTCGCGTCCACTTCCAACACATGGAGCTGATTGTCAAACATCTTCTGGTATTCACTGATTTCATTACATTTTGTGTAACAAGCTTGTCTTTGCATACACAATACCAAACTATGACGACCTATGGAAATATGGGTTTTATAAGAACAGCTAAACTTAATATTCATAACTTAACTTAATATTCCCATCGTTTACGATTGCATGAAATAGCTTTATTATTATACTCCATGGCACTGATAAACCACAGGTACAGTGGATTTAGTCTCATCCTTATGATATAATTTATACTATCCGGAAAGCATGCTTTTCACACGAAATTTCTCTTTTTGATCTCAGACCGAAAGGCGACACTGTTGTCAGACAGAAAGGTGACACTGTTAGATCGTGCTCTAATCGATTAGCTGAAATAGTTGGTTGGAGTGTGACTATTTTTACCTGTGACAGTTTATTCCAGGATGACAAAGTAAAACGTGTGTGCATACTGTGGTTTATTCAGTGTTGGTCTTATTGCAATGACTTAAATGTATATTTCACTTTTCTATCATCTCATTTAAATAAAGCTTGATATTTTATTAACATGTATACTATTTAGTTTGTTTCTGATAGGAAATTTCGGTTGATATCTCAAATAAAAAAACCAGCCCAAGCCATTGTATTATAATCAGAGAAATGTTCAAACAAACAAGTAAAATAGACAAGACAAAAATACAAGCAATACCATTATTTATTATTACATTATTGATATGCATATGCCTTCATAATTAAACGTTTTAATAAAATTGTAACGTATAAATTATCTGCTTTATTTATTTTTTCTTTAATTGGCAGTTGGTATGGGCCGAAGCATTCGCTTCTATACGTATTAGCTCTGCTTCAATAATGACATTTTGTGGAATATTAGGACCGATCTGCATAAAACACACGGTCGAACAAGAAATCGCATGGTAAATTGGATTTAACACCTACACGTCAGATTAAGCCTGCTAGTCCTTGATAAAACACCTTTGGTGCAGTTATGACACTCTTTCGAGAAAACTCACCAAACAAAGAATACACACCATGTCTGTCGTTTTTAACCTGTCCGTTAATTAACACACCCAGTACAGAAAACGCACCGTCGCAGAGATTTTCATACCTAGCGGTAATAAAATTACCTTTCAGTTAATTTCTCACCCCTGTTAATTAGCACACTGTATCTACAGATTTTAGTCTCTTCGTATTAGATTTGTTGCGATATTAGAATTTTACCGAGATTCATACAAATTTACCAAAATCGGTAGATATCTATACCCTAAACGTACAAATAACACTATTACTACTTCTCAATGTCTACAGACTACATTTATCATCTGATTGTTTTGAAATTGATATATGTGACCCCCCACAGCATACTGAGTCACAATGAGGAAATTTTGAAAATTGAGTTATTGTTATTTTCACAATCTCCAACTCATTACCTTCAATTTGATGTATAGTTTGTTTGAATTGGGCAAAAATTGACTGAGCTGTGTCCATTAGAAGCTACCCAACTCACAAAAGTAAGTTTTGAGAAAAAGCAAGTCAAAGATTTGGTATGTTCCAAAACAAAAATCCCATAGCAACCAGGCCATTTATCTGCTGTTTTGTCGTTGGATATATCTTTTCATGGGTTTTCAGGGGTGCTGAGCGAAAATCGAAGTAAAAATTTGATCCGACTATTTCCACAATTTATTTGCTATATTTTGTCGTTTAATATGTTTTTTATTTAGGATTTCAAGGGTGCCGACGACGAAAATCGTAATAAATGCACTCCTTTCGCAACGAAACATCCACAACACATACGGCATAATATTCACATGATAGTGTTATACTGAAGAACAATCTATACATTAGTAGTCTGTGGTGCATAATATAACTTTAGTGAGATTAACTCAATTAATTAGCACCTTAGTGCCAGCTAGTGGTCAGGAGATTAAGATTGTTGATTGGATAATCATCAAAGAAGCCGCACGCGTGTTCATTTACACGTGAATTAAAATAAGATTTTGCGTGTACGATAGGTCTATTATTATTTTCAGGTACCGTGACGTTATCAAAATATGAGTCCCTATAGAAATGTCAATTTCATAGTCAAGAAATGCTTACATTCACTTTCGTGCATTTTGGCTTTGATGTAAATATCAACATTATTCAGAGGATACTCAATGGCAGACTCGAGAATCGTCACATTTCGGCTCGTTGGTCGTTCTCATTTTTTCGACCTATTGTGATAAGAGAATTTTAAACGATAATATCCCAGATGCATTCCTTACTTTACATGCCGTATGAAGAAGTGACAGTAAACGGAATTCAGCTATCAATAAAATTCTCTTCGAAAAGAAAATTATTGGCCATTTTGTTTATTTCCATTTAATCTCTATAGATTATTTTTTTAAAGATGATATGAGATATCAAATAATCACCACTTGGATTAATTATTCGGAGTAAATAATGAGTTGTCGATGGCTTTATCATTGACCCGTGACAGTTGATTAGTAATAGTATTACTCAATGACGCACACCCGCTTGTCGATTAATTTATATCATCAGCCACGTGGTTTCGATTAACACTCAACGGCAATTTCTACGATCAGAATTATTTTTTTTTTCTGCCACTTATCAGAGTGAATTGCATGTAAGTACCCAAAAACATTATCGCCAAAACCAAATATTTATGGATAATATCTTGCATGCAGTGTCTGGGCCAATCAGCAAAGGAGTTGTGTGGACAGCATGGCAACAGGCGGAGTTTATTTATATTTTTGGAGGGTTTTAAAACTCAATTGTATCCGTTCAAAATCAATTCATCAACAATATTTGGATCATATTTATAAACTAGAGATGCTCCGCTTTACAACGAGGCCAATTGTTATGCAAGAGGAATGACCGGTCGTCCTGCTGCGAGCGAAGACAAATAACTAATTTCACCGAGAATTTTAAGAAATAGGACAGATTTAAGAATACGGTACTCTTACAAAACGTTCAAATACAGGTGTTTTAAAATGTTTTATTGCTATTTTGATCTTCTGTATAGACTCATTTTTGTGAAAATCTCGTTCAAAATCAATATTTTCACTTATTTTGTCTTTATCTCATTATTGATTCTTGCGCATCCCGACTCATTTTGATGCAGCCGGTCACATATGTTGTTTACATTAGTAAGATGAAGAACCCTATTTAATTTCAATAATTTCCATTAATTTCTTCTGGAGTTATGGCCCTTGTTTCACTTTGTTGAACTTTGTGAACGCTCTAACGACAAAAGTTATCATCCGATCTGTATGAAATTTACACAGATCATTTAAATTAGTAATACAAAGACTCCTATTGAATTTCAGCAATTTCCAATAATTAAGTCTAGAGTTATAGCCCTTGCTTAAAGGAGCTAAATCGCTAATGTTTGGGACCTAGAAATTGACACAATAATGTAATGTGAATGTATATAAACTGATTTACATTCAACCGTTTCTGTTTTTACTGTAATTTCTAATTAGTTATGTTCGGCGAAATACGGCAGAAGTCTTAATTGAATGGCAATCTTTAGCGTCTGGTTATTCCAGTCTACACTGATGATATTTATTGCGCATGCTCTCCAGATAAGAATATAGCGTCACCATTTGACATGACTTGTGGAATATGTCTTGCTGCGTTCTTTGAGTCCCTTGTTCCAAATGGTGCTGAAACGCATTATGGTACACGATTCGTGTACCAATGGTAAAATGTTTAATTTGTCTTGAATATTGGATATCAGAAGCCCATCTTTTCCCTATAAGATCCTGTTGATTTGAATTGACAAATAATTTGTGTTTTCAGTGTCGAAGGTTTTTGATGATATTGAGTTAGAGACTTAGCAACTTTAACTTTGTTGAACCTTGTGAACATTCGAAGGATGAAAGTTATCATCTGATCTGTACGAAATTTATATGCATCATTTAAATTAGTGAAAAGAAAAATCCTATTGAATTTCAGCATTTTCGAATAATTATTTGTAGAGTTATGATCCTTGTTGAACCTTGTGAATGCTCAAGTGATGAAAGTTATCAACCAATCTGTATGAAATTTATGTGCATTATTTAAATTGGTGAAATCAAGAATCCTATTGAATGTCAGCAATTTCTGTCAATTACTTCTAAATTTATGGTCCTTGTTTTACTTTGTTGAACTTGTGAACGTTCAAATGGCAAAAGTTATAATCCATTCTGTATGAAATTTATATGCATTATTTGAATTTGTAAATTTCAACAATTTCTGTAAATTACTTCCAGAGTTATTTCAGTTTGTAGAACCTTGTGAACCCTTAAACGACAAAAATCATAATCTGATCTGTATGAAATTGTCTTGTAAATAAATGTCCCCAATTATCTACTAAAGAATAAATGTGCAACAACCCTTGTCAACTGCTCGGACGATTTAGCTGCTGTGGGCGTATGTTTCGTTGCCTGTCAACCTATCTTTCCTTTTACAAATAACAAAATGAATAGCAATTGATGATATGAGGACTGGCTGAAATGTTCTAAGCCTGATAAGGATAGATCAGTTTGGTTGCCACCAACAAGTACAACTATTGAATGAATCATAAACATATGAACTGCAACTGTAGTGTTATTATTGTCTTCATACCAGACCATCTTGTGTACCTACCCAATGAATTCACTAGAAATGGACAAAACTGGCTATAGGGCAAGTACCTGCAACTGAAAGGACTAACCCAAAAACAGATAGACCCAAGTCATAGACGGCATACAACCGTAGACACAGACTAGTCATAGACACATAGAATGACTCAAACTAGATAAAGAAAAGCACAGCTATGAATTTACCAGTAGACACTAGTGAATGCTCAATTGGGATCACATGGTTTTTCACATTTTCTTAGTGTGCCGTTCAAAATTTTGCAGCACACTTGTTGAGAATCACTGCTTTAGGGGATGATGGCCTTTAAAGATGCGAGTCATCATCAAGACTCTCTCTGCTACTTTTTTACTGGGGAAAAGAAGGGGCATCATCCCCTAAAGCAGTGATTCTCAACAAGTGTGCTGTGATTCAAGAAAACATTACCCGGGTACATGACATGGTGATGACTGATAGGCACACCACTCGACATATTGCCAGTATTGTGGGCATATATCACCAACAAGTTAGGAATGACAAACATTTCTGCAAGATGGGTGCCAAAGCTCTGGAATACGGATCAGAAATGCATAAGATTCCTGACGTCCTGTGACAATCTGTGCCGTTTTGAAGCAGATGCTGATAATTTTTTGGCCAGATTTGTAACTATGGATGAGACCTGTTTCCAAAAATGAAAAAGGAACTAGATGGTTGTCATTTTTATATGCCTATATGGAAATGTGGTCATATATTACTGTCGTCCCGTCTGTCTTTCGGTCCATCCATCCGTTGACCACAATTTCTTGTGAACACTTCACAGACTACATTTATCATCTGATTGTTTTGATTGTTTACGTTAGTGAGATAAAGAATCCTATTTAATTCCATTACTTTCGGTTAATTTCACTTTGTTGTACCCGTGAATGTTCAAACCACAAAAGTTATTATCCGATCTGTATGAAATTTATACGCATTACTTAAATTAGAAAAACGAAAAAGCCTGTCGAATTGCAGCAATGTCGAATTGTAGCAATGTCAGACGACAAAAATTATAATGTCATCTGTATGAAATTGTCTTGTAAATGCCTCAATTACCTACAAAATAATAAATATGCGACAACCATTGTCTACCACTCGGAAGATTTAGCTGCTGTAGGCGTATGTTTCGATGCCTGGCAACCTATCTTCCTTGTAATGATAAAGTCATGTCAGCTATGAACGAATTTTTTAGGGTGGCTGAAGAAAATTTCTTCCTGACCGGCATCCAGGCCTTGCAACATCACTGACAAAAGTGTGTACATCTCGAAGGGGACTGACTATGTAGAAAAATAAATGGAAGCCAGGTCTTTCACAGGTAGGCTTAGAACTTTTTAGCCAGCCCTCGTAAGATACTTTTTTTTGATATTATTTTAGGTATGCAGCATTGAACAAGAAATGATGTCACTTATCAAACTACGTCATAAAAACTTACTACATTACCTCGGTATGAAGTCAAATCGTGAACCTGGTGTTATCACTGTTCATGTAAGTTTATCATTATGATCAAAAAAATATTTAATATTGACTTCAGATTATAAACACAAATATAGAAGTTTTCATTTTAATGTTGTGATATTCCAAATACCTGTACATTGAAGGTAGAAGAAAGTACAAATTTAAGTTATGACAATATTCCTAATCATATATCTTTAACTTGTTGTTTTTATCTTCCGGTTGAAGGTATTAACAGAATATTCTGGTGGAGGATGTTTAGATAGAAGTTTTCATTTTAATGTCGTGATATTCCAAATACCTGTACATTGAAGGTAGAAGAAAGTACAAATTTAAGTTATGACAATATTCCTAATCATATATCTTTAACTTGTTGTTTTTATCTTCCTTTTGAAGGTATTAACAGAATATTCTGGTGGAGGATGTTTAGATAGATATTTAAAAAAGAAAGAAGCTCTAGCTATTGAGAAATTAAAACATTATACTAAAGAATTGTTAGAAGCTCTAGAATACCTTCACAATAAAGCAGTTGTACATAAAAATTTAAGGGTGAGTTGTATACACCAACATCTAATGTGGACATTGTTTGTCATCATCTTTGTCTGCCAATCATTATTGTGAAGAAATTTTGTTGCAATTATACTTTTAAACCTTGAAACAAAGTTCATAGTGGAATTGCTCTGAGCTGCTTGATTTAAGAATTAGCACAGATGACTTTGCTGTTGGTGGGCATATTAGTTGGTCTGACATCCCCGCATCTATTGAAATAAGATAAATCATTTAAACCACCTGGTATGAATGGCATTTAAACCTTTTGCATCATTAATTTTTATTGCTGGTCAGTGCTCTGGAAATGAAATTTTTGACAACTGCTGTTAATTACTTCTAGAGTTACTGCCTTTGCACAACCTGTGGAATTTTATCTAATTTAAATATGTTCTTTGTGTTGATTATTACCATGAATAACAATTAAAACAATTGCTGATAATTTCTTATTGCCCTTGATAATTTTAATGTGCCAATGATGTTATGTAGAATGAAGGTTTAGCTTTTTTTTACCTGAAGATTTACAATGTTACAACCTTTATGCACTCTCAAAGTATTTTTTAACTGCTAACAACCTATGGTTAGAACTTTATTACAAATTATTTTTTTGATGTATCTGTGGAGCTGTATTAATCTAGATATAGATGGAATATACTGATATAATGTTTTATATTATTTATTTTTTGGAAGTCATCTAGTGTTTTTGAAGATGCAAATGGAAAAGTTAGGTTAGCTGATTTTAGTGTTAATAAAAGGTAATCATTTATTTTACATAACAGTAATCTTTTCATAACCATATAGAACTATGAACAAAGATATTTCATGAACTTCATAACAAATTTAGCTTTTGCATCTTCAGCTGTGAAGAGTGTCGTTTAGTTATCTTGCGTATTTGAATGTAAGAATAATTTGATTGCATTTTGTATTTGATGCAATTGCATTTAACATTTTTTGTGGAATCATAAATCTGTTAAAGAAATTTGGTTTTGCATAATTATGTAAACAAAGGAAAAATTAGGGAGGTGCCCAAGTTCAGATTTTGTCATGGATACCGTATGGTTGAAAAGTATCCAATGAAGTTCTATGGTGCGTTAATTGGTTGTAGATTTTTGGAGGTCAGGATTGGTACCCAATTGTTTAATTATTTGGTAGTCAAGGTTTCGACTAGAGTGGCTCGGTAGGTGGAAGTGGGAGGCAACTGGGGTGTCTCTTTTGTGGGTAATATCAGCATAGTGTTCTTCAGTCTAATTCGAAACAGCTTTATGTTTCACCAACGTATTGTTTTTGGCATAGGTTGCAAGTAAGTAGGTAGATAACATTTTTGCTGTGGCAAGTGGAATTGCTATGGCAATTATAGGATTTGCCTGTTTTGCTAGCATATAATATTTTCTTTCCTTTTAACGTATTGCAATAATTGCATTGAGGATAGTTACAGGTGGATTCTAAATAATTGTAACTTTTCCCACTTACTTGAGGTAAGGGTGTGAGGTCTTTAATAGTTGCTGAAGTTAAAAGATCTTTTAGAGACGGGTTGCGTCTATAAGCTGTAAGGCAGGGTTGCGGAAAAACAGTCCGGCAATCGTTCAAACTATGGAGGATGTGCCAGTTATCCCTGATGATCTTGCTTATGTGGACCGAAGTTGGATTATAGTTTTTTATGAAAAACTGGACATTTGTTATCCTTCGGTGTCGTTTTTGTGTTTAGGAGAGTTTTCCTCTGAATATTATTGGCTTTATTTCGGTTTGATCGGATAGTATCTCTTGGATAGCCCCGTTTGAGGTAATAGTTTACCAGGTTGTCTGCATGTTTTTGGTAATCCGCTGCTTTAGAGCAGATACGTTTAACTCTAAGAAATTGACTATACGGTCCCTTGTGTTTTATATGCAGTGGGTGACATACGGTATCAATGACAAAATCTGAACTTTGGCACCCCCATCATTTTTCCTTTGTTTACAACTCCTTCACTGGGTGTTCCAACTTTGGATTTTTTAGCCTCCCGACCCTCTCACAGGGGCTGCACTAACCCCCTATTTCTAATATACTCCTGTACGTATATTTTACTTGAACATTACGTCACAATGACCTACTTGATGTCATAGCAACTGCATTCCAAAACAATATGGAAGCCTGCCACGAGTGTGGAAAAGTCTATTCCAAAAGATGCCACCTTCTGCGACATGCCAGGGAAAGGCATCATTCAACATTCTTCGGGTGTGGAGACTGCGGAAAGCAGTTTAGACATAAAGAATATCTGCAAAAGCACCGGTGGAAAGGCACCAAACCTGTGGAAGAAGCAGAGAACTCAGCCATGATCGCTGACTTCCTCCAAATAGCCATGTAGACAATACCATTGGAGAACTTGGAACAAGATACACCAACCACCACCTGCTCGACTCCCACAGTCGCAGCCACGGGGGCTCCACTCTTCCAAAACAACACTCCCAGCAAAACCCAAACAAGTTCCAGCCACAATATGCGGACATAAGGGGCGCTCCATTGCCTTCCCTCTACAAGGATTTTGAAACTTCCCCAAACCTCAATGTAGAGGAAACAGGAGCAACAAGCAGAAGCAACATATGGAAAAACAGAGACCCGCACTCGGACCAACTTTTCCGAGTCCCGATGGAAAACAACTTGATATGATAGATGCGATCCCAGAGGACCCCTTCCTCAGATCCCAGTTATCGAACACTGATCTGTTGAATTCATCTATCATTTCGGGCTCGGGTTATGATAAATAAATTCTCATAAACCTTTTTTTTATCGCTATGTCTTTTCTCTTTTCAATCCTTTATTCATGGTTTCACTTAGACCCTCCCCTTCTCCTAACTCTCCTATACACACCCCTTCTAGTTTTTCCGTCAATGGTAATACCCTGCCTTCAACTACTCCACCCAGACTTTTTAGACCCTACCTCGCCTTTCCTAAACCCTGGTACAGGCTATTTTGTAAACCCCGTAGGATCCCAAACCACGGTTAAATTTTAAACTCCGGTAACATCTGAAACCCTGGTAAACGCTGCCAAAACTCAAACCCCGGTGAAATCTTACTGGGGTTTCAATACAGTATATATAGAACCCCACCAAGTGAGATAAGAGTTCGATTAGAAAGAAACTATAGTCACTGCTAATAGGGATAACTGGCCAAATCGCCCATCTTTATCTACCTTATTTGCATAATTATGGTTGTTTTTAAAGGTTAGCAGAATTATATGAAAGTGTTGAAAATGCTAGACCTGGTGTTCACTTCTGTGTTAGTCCGCAGGTTGTTGGTCGTGGTGGAAAAAAAGGAGATATTTATCAGTTGGTGAGTACCAGGGATCTCAATCGGCTGTTTTTTGTCGGCTTTAGACACGTGAAGTTCAATCAAGCCAATTGGTAAAACAATGAAACGGCCACTATGGTATCATAAATCAATCTACTTTCGGCAAAATTACAACGGGTTAATTATTACTTGTTAATTAAGAAGTCAATCAACTTGCTTGTTGGCTACAACAACAGTAATACCTTAGTGAGAATCAGCCATGTGGTTCATAATCCGAGTAGCCTAATTAGCACATTTAACGGTAATTTTGCTGATTATTCATAATCGATTCAGTAAGCTGCTTTTGTAAAAATAACACATGTGGCGAAAGAAGACGCTCCGTATATTTTCCAGGTACCGGTAGATACCAGTTGTTAGGTAAATTTAAATCTTCATTGAATATTGTAACATGCTTAAGGGTGAATCTTGCGTTTTGATTGGTCGATTAGACACTGTCTATTGGACAATAACACCCCTCTAAATTAGCAAAATCACCGCGTATATTTCATCTAATGTACCGAGACCAAAATTGAGTGTCTCCATTGTGGTTATCTCCATTAAAGTAGTATGCATAATATTTATATTTGGAGATATGTCCGAAGATGAACTTGAAACGCCACCCCCTTGTCAGGTAACAGCTACAAACAACAAAATATTCAAAAATCTGTTACAAAAACATAAATTTTGTTTCAAAAAGTACTTTTAAAAAAATGAAGTGAGAATTTTAGTTTTTTTTTGTGTGTCTATACTCATACGGCTACTATAGCAACAAGACGATAAGCGAGCCAAATCTAACATGAGCAGCCAGTTACCCCGATACGTCACGACGTTTTCATTACGTCAAAATTGATTTCTTTGGTTTTTACGTCACTAAAACCTATTTGCAGTGAGACGAATTTTGAAGTTTACACAATAAAATAAGTTCTTTAAAAATTCTAAAAAATAGCATGTTACAATGTCGATAAACACCTCCTGTTTCGCATTTAGAGGGGTGTTATTGTCCAATAGACATGTCCTGAGATTTTACATTAGAACCCGCGACGCTAACGCGTCTTGGGTCCTAATGATCTCAGGACATGTCTATTGGACAATAACACCCCTCTAAATGCGAAACAGGAGGTGTTTATCTCCTAAATAGAACACCGAATACACAGAGAAACAGTCATTAATAATATATTTTTCTGATAGAATCGCCAATGCCGAATTCCAATGATATGTGGCATATCGGTTGTGAGAGTAAGAAAACTTGGTGTATAGTTTTATCACATCAATACCTTGACTAAGTTCAATAATGAGCATTTTCTGCTCAGGGTAATTAGAGTGATAAGCAATTTGATTGGTCAAGACTTTGGAACACAACAACTCTTCTAATTAAGGTAGAATGTTCAAACTTGGTGTAGGCGCTTATTAGGTGAATGCCTTGATGGAGTTCGATGATAAACATTGTCTGCTTACGGTAAGCAGAATTAAGCAATCTGATTGGTTGATGTTTTGGGGCACGATAACTTCGGTGATGAACCTCTGAAAATAGATTCATCATATCATTACCTTGGCTAGGTTGATGATGAGAATTTTCTGCTTAGACTAAGGAGCGATAAGCAATTTGATTGGTCAAGACTTTGGAACGTAACAATTCTGCTTTTATTTTTAATTGAGGTAGAATGTTTAAACTTAATGTAGATGTTCATTAGGTGAATGTCTCGACTGAGTTCAATGATTAACATTTCAAGCTAAAGCAGAGCAGAGCTAAGCAATTTCATTGGTCGATGCTTTGGGACAAGATAACTCTCTTAGTGTCTAGTTGATAAATGTGCGATTAATTAATATGTATCATCTATTTATTTTGGGATTTTGGCGGGGGACATCATTCTGACTGTTGGCTTGTTTTATGCAAATTCTGATAAAGGTTGAATTTTTAAAATATTTTGAAGGCTATATCACAGTGATATAGGATTTCACCCATATATTCTGGACATGTCCGACACTATTTTCCAAACGTCCTAAATTGTCCGACCAGGAATATGCCCAATCAGACATCGAGACATGGTGGATAATATTCAAAATTCCAAAATTAATATAGTGTACTGAGTGTATAACTACAACTCAACCCGATTATCGTTGATAATAGGCTGGATTGATTAGGTAATTAAGTGATCAACGTTTTTGTCGTGTTATATCGTCTATACACCTATCTTGATTAACTACTTAATCTGCCTTAATTGGCTGACTTTATTATTTGTCGGACACTTTATCAATCCAATCCTGAACAGAAACCACTGCTTCTTTTTTGTCAGACTATATATCAATCCAATAAGAGTGATTATAAACTTTAATCTCTGTGATTAACCTGTAATTTCTCCATTGCCAGACTTTTCAATCTCCTTGATGTTGGCCGACAACACGTAGGAATTAGTCATATATGTCACATATCCTAATAGTATATGTGACTGCGTATATCAAAGTGAGTCGGAATACGCAAAATCTAATTTTGGACTAGAGACAAAATAAGTGAAAATATTGATTTTGATCGAAATTGAGATTTTCACAAAAATGAGTCTATAAATATACTATCTATCGACACAAAAGATCAAAATAGCAATAAAAGATTTTAGAACACCTTTATTTGAACGTTTTGTAAGAGTACCATATTCTTAAATCTGTCTTATTTCTTACTCATATTTTGATACAGTTACGGTACCTGAAAATAATAATAAACCTATCATACACGCAAAATCTTTGATGATTATCCAATCAACAATCTGAATCTCCTGACCATAAGCTGGCACTGGGGTGGTAATTAATTGATGTGATAAACTGTTAATCTCACCAAAGTTATAAAATACAAAACAGACTACTAATAAATAGATTATTCTTCAGTATAACACTATCATGTGAATATGCCGCATACATTGTTATGGATGTTTCTTCACGAAAGGAGTTCATTTACTACGATTTTTGTCGTCAGCACCCCTGAAATCCTATATAAAAAATAATTAAACGACAAAATAGCAAATAAATGGCGGAAATCGTCGGATCAAATTTTTACTACGATTTTCGTCTTCAGCACCCCCTGAAAACCCATGGAAAGATATATTCAACTACAAAACAGCAAATAAATGGCCTGGTTGCTATGGGATTTTGTTTTGGAACATACCAAATCTTTGACTTGCTTTAACATACTTTAAACACGGTAAGAAATGTTGACGAATATTTCTATTGGAATAATGTAAGTAGTTAATTGTTTTAGACGATAGTGCGTGCTAGAGTTGAATGCGATTATTTAGCAGTTGATGTCACTTGCTCGTTGTGGTAGAGCCAAATAAATTTCGGGATGTCATTTTTTTACCTTCCGTATATAAGTCGAATGCCAGACTTCTGCTGAAAAATGTATCGACTTATTTCCCGAAAAATACAGTAATTTTGGAGGAATTTGAAACCGGTATGGATCGGCAGTATGCTTTCATTCTATGGCATTACGATGTCACATAATTTTGTAGAAATATTATTGATATAAATTTAAATAGCGTTCGGGAATTAAACATGAAAAATAACGAGGTGCACCTATTTTTTATTTCGCATGAATTTAAATATTTTGTTGACACGTGATTCTTAATTGTGGTTTGAACACGCCTGCTTAAATAATAACCATATGAGTTATGCCCCTTTATTTTTGGGAAAAAATGTCTTGACAAGAAAAAGGTTGAAATTCCATCACTGCTATATCATAATCAGACAGAATTTTTATTTAAAAGCAATTTCAATTATGGTTGTCACTGACAATTGTGCCGTTTGTCTATCATCGATGAATGAATAAAAACTTTGGCAAGTAAAGTGACTAGTTACGTGATAGAGAGAGAGTGAGAAATGGGGTTTAACGTCCACTCGACACAAACTAGGTCATTTCGGGACTAAAATATGGTTTAATTTTATTTACATAATTCGCTTGCGCGTAGGGGTCTTTAGCAGTGGGAGGAAACCGGAGGACCCGGAGAAAACCCACGAGGTTGGACAGGCGACCCTACTACGTGATAGAGAGAGAATGAGAGAGAGAGATAGAGAGAAATGGGGTTTAACGTCCCCTCGACACAAACTAGGTCATTTCGTGACTAACATATGGTTTAGTTTTTATTTCAATAATTCGCTTGTGCGTAGGGGTCTTTAGCAGTGGGAGGAAACTGGAGGACCCGGAGAAAACCCACGAGGTTGGACAGGCGACCCTACTCCTTGTCACGTACAATCGGGGAATCGAAACCCCGCCAGTTGACTCAATGACAGACCGTATGATACAGCGCGCGCGTGCTAACCATTCGGCCATCCAAACCCCCTAGTTACGTGATAGACACAAAACTATAAATTGTATTATGAAGAAATGCCATGGTGGCGTATCAGCTTATTTTGGCTACAGCATTTTCTGATACTGGCAATAGTAGAAAAATTCTAATATTTTAGATCATCGTCTTGTGAAACGCGAATGTTTCATCGAATAAACAAAGACAGTAATTTATTCTGGAATATTACTGACATGAACTTCAAGCTGGTAATTAAATAAATATGGAAAATTCTCAAAAGGTGTACCTGTCGTTATTTTGTGGGTAATCATGTACATTAAAATACAACATTCTCCATAACAAATTACCAAGAATTATTTTTGTTGAAGTCTAGTTATATTAAAGGGAATGGAAGCTTATAATTAACCCATTTCCTTTGGGACCTCATTTGACCCAATTCTGGCCAGTTCGTTTCAATTTGGATTAAGAACCCTGGGGAGTACATATTGTGGATATATGGTTTTAGATGAACCATTTTAAGCAATAGGAATCACTTGCAAACTAATAAAGTTGTAAAGGATGAAACTCTAATAGGAATATCATTTACAAAGATGTCTGGAATTGAATTTTCATTGAACTAGTCTGCTGCCTTTTCAGTTTTCGTTGTACTTGAAAATCTATTGATAGACCTGATTGAATCCAGACCGGGACATTATCTAGCGTTTATATCTTGAT